AATGGACAGGAAGAAGGTAATTGTGATTGCCTTCATCAACATCTTAGACAACATTCTGTTACCTGTTACCCCCTTTGCATCTATCACATCCGCTGCTGCTTTTGTCACAGCTGTATTCAGAATATCATTGCCCACTGCATTCATTCGCCGAGAGTTCAGAGCTCGCTTCTGCTTGCTGGTACCAAAGGCTTCAATGCACAAATCCACCTGTGCATAACAGAGAAGCAAATGACAACACATTGCTGAACTTCAGACACTTTGTGTGAAGGAAGAACACCCAGATAGCCACTGCTTGTCCCACATTTACACTTTTACAGTAATCTCAAACACATCACTGGGTACAACCCAAGCATACTACAAAAAATGCACGAGGGCGCGTTTTGCCTGGCACTGTGGACAAGGCTAATGTAGTCAGGAAAACACTGCTAAGCTAGACACTAACAACATGCTGCCTCAGAAACTTTCCACACACACAAGAAGCGCCAACCCTGCAAAGTTTGTCCTGCAGCAACCAAACATCTCAGCCTCAGACAAGTATCTACCGCTGCCCGCTGGATAACTACAGCAGAGTGTGGTACTGGGTTTCAACCTTACCTTTTCCCTGTAGGATTTATTCTGATAATCCCTTGTGTCATCAGGAATTGCATTATCTACAAAAGAATAAAAATTAGTATGCTTGGCTTGCAGCAGGCAGGAAAGTGCATGTATTTGGTACCCCTTCAGCTCTAGAACATTACAGAAGGACTAGGTACTCCACTTCAGGATCTTCTCTACAGGATTTTGTTAATAAAACAATACATTGAATACAAAAGATTGTGTACCTGACAAAAAAAAAAAAGGGAAAAGCAGGACAATTTTTGCTACAAAATCTAAAAGTGTAATACACAGACTGCAGCAATACTAAACTCCTATTGCCCATAAAAGAAAGCAGTTTCTTAAAGATCATATTCTTAGGGTTATTTCAACTAGATTCTGTAATAAAAAGCAGTTCTGCTGGTGAAAAGCTTCTCTTTGTTTTTTTTTTTCCCCTCCATCAAATGACTCAAGTCTGATGACTTCATTATTTCCAAGCTTCCCTCAGCAGGAGAAGGCTGCAATTATTCTAAGCAGTGACAACTTTTTTTCTAAACCTGGTATTCCCACCCTCCCACCCCAGAGCTCTCTGCTTAACCCCTTCCCAGAATTTCAGCTATGATCTTGCTCCCTTCCTTCCCTCTTCTTTCATGCCGTGCTGTTCCCCAGGTGCAGAGAGAGTGAAGCATCCTCCTTCCCTCATTCTAAGACAGTACAGCAGAAATGAGGAAATAAGAGTAGGAGGAAACAGAGGGCAATGCTGTCAGTAGCCAATTAGTTAGTTGATGAATGCATACATATTTCCAGGATGCTGTGACCTTGATGCCAGGGTTAAATACAGAATTGTCCTACCTGACAGTAAGGGTTGCATGTTGAATATTTCAGCATTAAAGACTTCCATTTGCCCAGAATCCTTGTTTAAAACGCCAAGAAAATACCTGGGGAGAAAAGGTGCAAATGATTACCAGTGACAGACTCAGAGCTGAGAAAAATGAATTTGCCATCTCCAAAACAGATTAATTTCAATCAAGTCAAATCCTTCTCATTTCACACTTCAGAGGAGCAAACCCAAACAGTTTGCGCTGCTCCTCACCACAGAATCATAGAACAGATTCACAGAATCCCTACAAAATGGAAGGGACCTTTAAAGGCAGCTCCATTGTGCTGCCCAGGGCCTGACTCAGCTTTGTTCTGAAGGTCTCCAGGGACGGGGCATCAACCACATCTCTGGGCAACCTCTTCCACTGCCTCACCACCCTCACTGTAGAAGATTTTTTCTTTATATCCACCTTAAATCTGCCCTCTTTAAGCTTGCAGCCATTTCCCCTTTTTCTGTCACCACAGACCCTGCTGAAGACTCTGTCCCCTTCTTTCCTGTAGCTCTGCTTTAGATATTGAAAGGCTGCTACCAGGTCACATCAGATCTGTCTCTTCTCCAGGCTGTACAGACTCAGCTCTCAGCCTGTCCTCATAGGAGAGCTGCTCTATCCCTCAGATCCTTTTTGTATCCCTCTTCTGGATGTGTTCCAACAGCTCCATGTCTCTCCTGTACTGAGGACTCCACATTTGCACACAACTCTCCTGGTGAGCTCTCACCAGCACAGAGTAGAGGGGCAGGATCACCTCCCTCACCCTGCTGGCCACATATCTTTTGATGCAGCTCTAAATGGATGCAGTTGGCTTTCTGGGCTGAGGGCACATTGCTGGCTCGTGTCCAGCTTCCCACCCACCAGTACTCCCAGCTCTTTTTCAAAAGGGCTGCGTTCAGTCCTTTCATACCCCAGCTTGTATTGGTAGTGAGGGTTGCCTCAACCCCGGTGCTAGATCTTGCATTTGGATTTGTTGAACGTCATGATGTTCACCACTGCTCAAGCCTGTCTAGGTCCCTCTGAATGGCATCCCATCCCTCTGGTGTGTTGACTGCAAACCACAGTTTGGTGCCATCAGCAAACTTGCTACGGGTGCACTCAACTCCACTGCCAGTGTCACTGATTAAGACATTAAAGACTACTGGCCTCACTACTGAACTGTGGGAGTCACTGATCTCCATTCAGACATGGAGCTATTAACCACCTCTCTCTGGATTTGATTCTGCAGCCCGTTCTACTCTCACTGAACAGATCACCACATATTTTCAATTTGGAGAGAAATATCTAATAATCCATATCATGACCCTCTCAAAAGAACAAACACAAGGACATTAAATGGCGGGAAGTCCCTCCCCTTAAGAGCTTTCTGTAATTCTGCTTACTTTTCATTGTGTCACCCCACTTTAAGAAGTCCCTGTAGTCAGAGTAGAGATAAACCATGAGCAAACAGTGCAGGACAAGTGGAGCACATTCAGAGGGTACAGCATTTGCTAACAGGAGCCTGACACACACATTACAAGCACTTCACAGCTTTGCAGGTTAGACGTAACAAAGTAAGATGCTTTTACATTGATTTTCCACCTACTCAAGAGGTTCTTCTACCAGAGGATGAGAAAGATCTCCCATACAAAATAATTCTCACAAATTCATGGGATTTGCCTCAAGGCCATACAGATCACCTTCTTAAACCTGGACATTTCACCAAGGCTTCCAATTACAGCATGAGGCACAGACAAGTTATTAATTCATACTGCACTTGAATGGTGACTAATAATCCACTGGGTTCCTGAATATAAGATGTTGATCGTGGCAATTAAGAAGGAATAAAGCTGCTGTCTCTAGGTTTCAGCTATGTGCAGACATCTTCCCACCTTTTTCTCAAGCAGAGCTATATTCCACTTATGTGTAAGCAGCTACCAGGAGTGCATGTCTACTGCCCAAATCCTCTGCATTCACACCATGGGCTCAACGAGAACTCATCAGCCAGCTTTACAGAAGGCTTCAAAAATATTTTATTTATGCAGTTCCTCTGCCTTCACCTCCCTGTTTCTGCCACAGAGTTGCCAGCTACCCATACCTGCATAAGGAGTTACATTTCATAGCTCCACTGCTGAAGTTATTCCCCACATATGAAAGCCTTTCAGTTTCTGAAACCTGAAAAACAAAGGAAAATTACTTGAGTGCATTATTTGAAAGTGCATATTTCCCTGCACAAACTTTATTCTCTCTGGTGACATAAAGCTTGACATTGCCACAACTACCATACCTTAAAGCAGCAGAAGCAGTGTGTGAAAGAGTCAATAGAAAAGAGCATTATCTATTAGTCTATTAGTCAGCTTCAGATCCTAACTGCAATGCTTTAGGTTGCTTAACACAGTTACTTAAAGTTTCTCTAAGTCTACAAAACAAGCCTTACAGATATCAAAATGTGCCAAAGGGCAAAGAACTGTGGAAAGCCATCATTAGCAGGCAGGGGAGATCAGTTTACAGCAGTTTTCCACATTGCATTCAAAACTTTAGTATCATGTGGTGGCTATGATTAGCCAGCTGAAAACAGAGCTAGCACAAACGGCTCCGACGTACACATTTTTAAGTATTTGCGTCTCTACTCGGGCGTAGGATATTCCCCCTGAGGATTTTGGCTCAGAAATCATTTATTCGTCCACTGAACCACGCATACGGACAGCCGCAGGAATTAACAACGCGCTGCCGCGCGCCGATCACATCCCGTGAGAAGGCACGCGAGGCCGCCCAGACCGCCAGGCCTTACCAGGATCCTCCGCCTCTTCTTCCGGGGATTGGCCACATCACTGCTCCGGTAGAGGGAGAAACGCACGGCGTCGGGCTGCTGCAGCCGCCCATTAGAGAACGTCACTGCGGGCGGATAAACAGGCCGTGAGCCTTGCCCCGGCGCTGCTCGCCTCCCAGCCCGGCCCCGCACCCTCCTCACCCAGCAGTGCCGGCTGCTCCTCTTCGGGGTCCCCACGGTAGCACCACGTCGCGCCGGCCATAGCGCGGTACTCGCAGTAGCGCGCCCGGCTCGCTTACCACACGGCCTCAGTGCCCGCGCTGCTCGTTGGCTGCTGCCGCGGCGTGATGGCGCCACTTCCGGCCGACGCGGTGCGATTGCGTCACTTCCGGTCGAGGCGTAATTGTGTCTTATTTCCGGAGCTCGAGGCGCGATTGCGTCATTTCCGGCCGACGCGGCGCCAGGGTGGGAGTGGGGGTGGAGTCACGGGAGCGGGCTACGGGGCCGCAGGGCCGAGGAGCAGGGCCGCGCCCGGCCCTTCCCGCCGCCCAGTGCGCCGCCGCTCCCCTTCCCACAAGCCGTGCGGAGGCAGCGGCTGGGGGCGGGGATCGTGGGTGAGCGGGTTGCCGGAGAGAATCGGGGTGGGGGGGCAGCTAGGGGCTCGCGGGGCGGTGGCGCGCGGGGCGGGGCGCGGCGGGTCTCACGCGCTTGCGCCGGGCGCGGCTCCGCCCCCAGACGGAGAGTCGGCGCGCGGCGGGTTTGGTGCGCGCAGGGCCCGCGCGGACGGTGAGCTGGGAGCGGGGCCGCCGCTGGGGTCTTCTGCGGGCTGCCGGTGTCCGGCCCGGCTCCGCCGCAAGCATCGCTTTACCGGCGCCGGAGGTGGAGCCTGGAGCAGAGCTGTTCGGGTCTGTAACGGCGGCGGTGCGTAGGAGCGGTCCTCTGAGGGAGGGATGCAGCGCCGGGATGTTTTAACGGGAGGGGGGGGGAACGTAAGGGACTCCTGGCGTGCAGCCTTGGCGTGTACGGGAGCCGTCTGTAGACAGCAGCAGTTCCCCGGAGTTCGTGTGACTGCCTGGACCGTGGGGAAACGGATCCTGAGGTGGAGTGCGAGAGAGCAGGCCTTCCTGTCTCACGTTTGTGTAGTTACTGCGTTGCTTGTCGTAGCTGTGCTGTGAAGTATGGCGCTTGGGAGGGAGGTACTGAGTGCACTGATAGCACACGGCAGCTCCCTCCCTACCTGGCGTTTCTGGTGAATGGCGCGGGGCGTCTGTTACAGGCACCTCACAGCTGGTGGGTTGTGTCTCATGCTGACAGACCCGTGCGGTGGATAAGCTGGGAGCCATTCTGCTGCTGTGGCACTGTGCTGTAAGTCTGTCTCTTACAGGAGAAAGGTCAGTCGGCACTGATGCCTGTATTAAGCACAGTACGCAGTTCTGTCTTGGAGCTGACTGGATGTGCTTAATTTCTTCCTCTGCCCTTTTGGAATTGTTCAGAAGGACTTTAATTCAGCATCTGCACATGAAAATCATGGCAATTGTTATTTAATAAAATATTTCCATTTCACATCATCATGTGTGCTGCGTAGGTTGCTCTGAAAGTAATGCCTCCTGTTTATTTCCGTGGAAACTACAACAGATAGATCACTTTGGTTTGGCCGTTACCAAACACCATTTTTCAACACTCTCAACCACCATTAGCAAGTCATTCTCTCCAGAGCTGAGCAAGGACTCACATGCCACCCTCATCTGAATCTGCACCAGTGGAGGTGACAGGTGTCACCACTGCTGAAATGCATCATCCATTACCTCAATGTGCTCACACCCTCTCTTTGATCTCCATAAAAGTTCAGCAAGTGTTGATGAATGTTGTTGGGTGCTGGTTTTTCTGTATGGAGGAATTCAGCGGTACATTTCTGCTTCCTATGCGCTTCCATGTTAGTTGCCATTTTGTCAGACTGCCCCTCTACCTGCCACCTGTCACATGGCTGTAACAGAATGTTGGTGTGAAGGTTCAACCTCTGCTGCCATCCCACCAACATCCAGCTATGGCGTTCTGGGCCAACACAATAAAATAGAAGGCATTACTTTTGGAACAGCAGTCATGAAATACACGGAGCCTTTTAAGTCATTCGTGTAGACTGACTTCTTTCTGTAGGTGGAATGACATGGTTAGAGTTTTTTAAGTGAGTTTTGGAAAACCATAAGCAGATGATTCAGCCGTTCTCAGATAAAATCCAGCAGCCTTTGGTTGGATCAGTTATGTGGATACAGTTACATCCTTAGGTTGAAAAGAAGATACTAAGGCAGCCTTTGTGGAGGTGACACGTAGTTTTTATTATTCTGATACATGGCAAAAACAGTTTTCCATGGCAAAAACAGTGTTCTTCAGCAATTGAAACCAGTTTCTAATTCTACCAAGTGTTTAAAGCCTTTCACCAAGGCACTGTGAGAATCATCGGGGAGGTAGGGCAGAGTTTGTTTAAAAACTTTCAGTAAATAGCAAACTGGAGGAGCTGGCATTAGAATCATCATACTGAGCGAGCAGATGTGATGGTGATGCTGAGCTGCCTGTGCCTGCTTTCACCTTTGGTGCTCCGTGCAGATCTCTGGTTCTGCCCGTTGTTTGTAATTCCCGTGCAGTGAACCGAGATTCCTGCGTGGAGAAGGTGGCAACCGAGTTTTCTTTTCAATGGCCGTTCTCTGAGAGCAGGGTGGTTCCTGGTGCGTGCTGCCACAGAGTTGTGAAGCAGGAGGAAGGTTGCCCGAGCTGGTAACTGTACATTCAGATTCTCCCTGATGGTAGTTTATCTTTCCATGCCTTTACACGGCATTGTTGCCAGTTTTGTGCAGCAGCCTTGCCTGCTGTCCCCTGCGTAAAAAAATCAACTGATGATGATGATGATACTAGTTTTGTTAAAGTGTGTCATTGTGTCACTCCTACAAAGCCTTTGTGTTGTTGGGAAGTTTGTTTTCTCATATCTTGATACAGTTTTCTGGCTTCCTAGACTGAAGACCAAAAGTAGAATCCATCTTTTCTTCTTTATTGATTTCCTGGAACCTTGCTTTTGTAACTTTTAAAGAAACTGTTGTCTTTAAGTCAGTGGTACTGACCTTGTAGCTGGAGCAGTAATCTGAAAGAAGTACTGTTTAGTCTGTTGAGAGGTCTGTTGCACTGTCTGTGCAGCAGTGTGTGTGTGCTGAGGAGCTGCAGAGACACAGCCTTCGTGGCAGATAGGATATCAGAGCACAGCCACGTTCTGTTCTCTTACTGAGCCTTCTGCTGAAGTGTGATGATGCACCCTAGGGTCCAGAGACCAGAATGTGCATCACAGAGCTGGGAAGTGGTGAAGAAAACCATGACGGCTTTCACACCCTGCCATCAAGATGCTATCAGTTCTTCTGGATAATCAAGAGTGTCTAAGAAATACCTAGCATTTTTTAGAAAGCTTTCATGTGTTCCATTTAGAGCTGCTGTTTGCAGCTGACAAGGCTGGGCTGTTGCTGCTTATTGAGAGGCTAGTGTTGCTATAGATTGCAATATGGGTTTTTAATACTTTTCAAATGATGAGAGAATATGACATTGTAAAGTAAACTCTCCTCTGGAAGGTGGGTGCAGTCAGCAGCAGCTTTTGCAGTGCAGTTTTCTGATTCTTAGGCAAGTGGTAATTCATCCTCCCTGATTATATGGAGAGAAACGCTGTGAGATGAATGATGTGTGACACCTGGCAAAGCAAAAACTTAAATGAGCTGCTCTGAGTTAAATTGTCAGTCATCAGGATTGTTACTTGCTGATGTTTTTCTGTGTCATTTTCACACACAAAGAATGCTTTTCAAGGCAGGCGTTTGGCATATTGGTGCTGATGTGAAGGTAACATGGTGGCTGCTTTAGTTGTACGGAACAAGGCCGGAATTCAGTTAAGCTACTGCTAGCTAAAGATCCCCTTTTTCCCACAGTTTGGAAATGCCATTAGGTCAGAGAGTGAGTCATGCTTCAAAGTGGTCAAACTTACTCAAAATGTTGAAGAAACTTAGGGTTTCCATTTCTTTCTGTGTCTAGTTTACTACTGTCCAGCCAGCCTGATTTTCTTATTTTTATTCGAAAAGCATGACTGCCCATGGAGGGCTAACTGCTGTTACCTGTGTACAGGTAACTGCTGTTACCAGTTATTCCTGTGTAGATCCAGATTCGTGCTTCAGACTTTGCAAAAGCTTTTTCAGAGATGCTTTAATTGTAGCACAATGGTTAAACACAGCACAATTCTATGGTAATGTTTTGTAAAATGTGATTTTAAGCTAATTGCTCAACAGTTATTAATACTGTATTGGCCCACTGTCAAGTATTGGCTTTCTTCTAGGAATTCCTGCAGGTTTGGCAGTTTAGAATAGCAAAAGCACCTAAATACGTAATTTTTTGTGAATGGGCTCAGAGATGCAAATATCCTTTGTTTATATGATGGGAAAAAAACAAACAAACAAACCAAAAAACCCCAAGCTTTTTTTTTTTGGTCTAGCTTTTAATTGTGTATTTCAGGTGTATCTATCAAAGCGGTGCCCCTGGATCAGGGTAATCACAGACAGGAATACAGTCTAGGCAATTAACTGATTGGGAGCAGCCCTGCAGGTGAGTTGGGTGCTGTGGTGGGCGGAAAGTTGGGCATGAGCCAGCAGTGTGTGTGTGCTTGCGGCCCAGACAGCCGGCTGTATCCTGGGCTGCAGGGGGTGGCAGCAGGCAGGGAGGGCACTGTTCCCTCTGCTTCGCCCTGCTGAGGCCCCCTCTGCAGCACCGCGTCCAGGCCCGGGGCCCCCAGCGCAGCAAGGATGCGGAGCTGTAGGAGCAGGCCCAGAAGAGGGCCACCAAGATGATCAGGGGGTTGAGTACTTCTCCTGCAGTGAAGGTAGAGGGAGCTGGTCCTGTTCAGCCTGGAGAAGGGAAGGCTGAAGGGAGACTTTTCTGTTACCTTCCAGTTCCAGGGCCCCACAGGGAAGCTGACTTTGACTCCTCTGCAGAGAGTGTAATGGTAGGACAAGGTGTTTAAGCTGGACGAGTGGAGACTTAGCTTATGTATTAAGAGAACATTACTTATAGGGTGGTGAGGCCTTGGCTGTGCAGAGAAGCTGTGGGTGTCCTGTCACTGCAAGTGCCCAAAACCAGGCTGGATGGGCCCTGGACAGCCTTGTCTGGTGGGACACGAGCAGTCCATGGCGGGAAGGTTGGAAACATCTCCACTACCTTGAGCACACTGTGAGTCCTGGCTGCCTGAGCCAGGCAGTGCTGGTGAGACAGGCGATGCTGTGGGAGTGGGCTGAGAACTGAGAACATCTGCCAGAGGCACACAGCACAACCCAAGAACATCTCAATAGGTTCATACCTCACAGACACACTCAGCCAGAGGCCAGGTACAAGCTGAGTTGGGCTAGGCTCTGCCATGACTCAGTGTATGCCGTGGAGGGCCGTGAGGTTGCATCCATTGCCTGGTGACATCACACACTGTTAAACCAAAAACTCTTGCTGGGTGCTGACACCTGAGAGCTAAAGAGGGACACTGTCAGGAGGGAATTGGCGGGACAAGGAGCACTAGTTTAAAGAGAGTAGATTTGGGCTGGATATTTGAAAGAAATTATTTCCTCTGAGGGTGGTGGACCACTGACTGGTACAGGCTGCCCAGGGGAGTATTAGTGCCTATAGCAGGGGGTTGGAACTGGATAATCTTAAGGGTTCCTTCCAACCCAAACCATTCTTTGGTCCTATGATATGATTCTAGAAATGTGATTCAGCAGTAACATTCATCCAACATTCCCTGGGTCCCTAGAAAGTGAACTGGAAGCTGTCTGTGAGCTTCATGAAGGCTGCAGAAACTGGCTGCTGGATCCATTTCTCACAGGCGGAAGCATCCACGTCCTAAATCTGGATAGACGCTGGTACATTGATGGGATACCTGACTCAGTCATAGAATCTTGGGACTGTAGGATCATGGAATTGTTTGCGTTGGTATCTGCAGAGAGACGTGTAGTGCTTGGAGTTGGTCTGAGTGGAATGAAGAGGGTGTGCTGCCTGTGAGTGCTTCAGGGGAGTCTCTGTGGCCAGATTTTGCTGAAAGTTGAGGTCTGACTGAGACCTCAGGACTGTGTATGCCAGAAATAGACCTATCAGAAACATTTGCTATTGACTTAGATACTTTGCATATATTTACTAATCTGAAGTAGTCCATATCTCACACCGTACTATATGTGTATGATATTTAATATGTATATGACTCAAACTTAGCTTTCTGCTTTTCAGACGAATCTTGTGCAAGACCTCAAGTGCTCTGTGGGGTCTGTGTTCGTGGATTTTGGTTTGAGGACTTTAGCCCTTATGGTGAAATAAAAAAATGTGAAGCCACATTAGCACTACTTGAAGCACAACTGGAGGTTGTCTTGTTCCAGGTACACTGAGGGCTCAGTCATTTCTTGGTGGCTTCAAGCAGGAGCATTTTTTGATTCTGAAATCACATCTTTCCCATCATCTCTGGCTCAAATGTGTTACTTTTCTTTTTCCAACCAGTGTGCACTGCACGTTGGTTTGAGTGCGTTATTGCACTATCTGGAGAAGGAGGCTGTTTCCTCAGACTGTTTGTTACAGGCAATGCGTGAGCTCTGTGTTTTATATGTATTGCAGTGCCTGAAGCTCTGTGAGATGACCTGGAATTACGCAGACTGGGGAGTGCTTGGCTGCCTGTCCTGCTTTGCACCTGATGACCTTGGGAAATGAAGCAGTTGTTGCTGGGTCCTGCACTTCTGTGCATCTGCGGTGAAGGTGCAACAAGAACAACCTCTTTTTCAGTTGTAGGTGCAGCACACTCTTCTGCCTTGGCTGCCTTTGCAGGAGGTGGTGGTTGTGGTTCAGTGCTGACACATTTTGTGAGGCTGTTGTAGCTGAAAAGCAGTGTTGATTCCAGCCTTCAGGAGAAGGAGCTTCTGTGTCTTGTGCTGGTAGGTTCTTGGTGTTCTCTAGGATCTCCTGTCTACAGACCACAACACTGGAACTGGGCAGGTCATCCTTGAATGTTAAATGGTTGACTGGAGGGAGAGTGAGTTGAAAGGAAGTTGACCAGGATCCAGGTCCCTCAAGCATAAGCAGATACAGCAGTGATGGTAGCCTACAGGGAGAGGGAGAAATAATTTCTTTGGTGTTGGGGCAATTGCAGGGCCTCCCTGTCTGCTTCTCCTCCTCTTCCTAAACTCTCCCTAGATCTTGTTTTTAACTCCTGAAGCCATGGGCAGGGTGTTCTCTCTGGTGTAACACCTGGCCCATCTCAGAAGCAAGCAAAGAAGACAAATAAGGAGGTGTTTAGCAGTCCATTTTTGACTTTCCAGAGAAGCCTTCCTCCAGGCTGCAGAAGAGGAAGTCGTAGCATGGTGGTGGATGGAACAAAGCAGGCCATTAGTTTATCCTGACGTGCAAAGGCAGACGGCTGTTTGGCAGCACTGGTTGCTAGAGCAGCAGTGTCCTCTACAAATGTCGTATTCTGCCCCTGGGGCTTGTAGCTCATTTTGCATTCCCTCTATGATCCTTCTTTCTTGTTGCCTGATGTCACTAAGTTTCAGGGTCTGCTGCCTGGTTCCTCTGCTATTCAGAAAGAATGCAGAAAGGATTTCCTCACTTTTCCATGTGTTACTCTTCTCTTAGAGAAAATGTGCAGAAATAAAAACTGTGCCATTTTAAAATCTTTCTGTCCTGGTACAGTTTGTGTTTGAAGATGCCCCGCTTTACTTTCAAACATTTGTAGTGAGAGAGAAATAAAATCACTTGCTATCTGTATTATTGCATCTTAAAAAAAACAGTTTTGTTTCAAACTCTTCCATTTTAATACATATCTTAATCTACAGGGATAAGGGAGATTGACAGAGTACTTATTTAATCTCATTACACTGCTTACTTGGGGCATTCAGACATCGTAGCCTTTGTGTTGCTGAACTAAGAGATTTTTGATGCCTCAGTAAGGCTGGGCCCTCAGCACTGTGGGAAGGCATAAAATGCAATTTCCTTCAGCTTTTAAAATACCTAGGAACCAATTAAGGTCTGAGGCAAATGCTTCTCAGCCATCTCTGACTGCTGCTGGCAGGAATTCCTGCTTTTCTGTGTTTACATAAAGCTCCATTCTTTTTGTCAGGGAGCAGGGTTCCCAGTGTAGTGCAGTACATGGCGAAATCTTCCTCAGGCTCGTAGCTGTGGTGTGTGCTGTGTGCCGTGGAGAAGTGGTAGGCAGGTGAGTGCAGCTGCATCTTTGGCTTGGGAACATCAGCTTGATGTTTTTCTCCAGTCTGACAGCTGGGAAGCAGGGGGTGCTTTGTCACATTTTGCATGACCTAATGATTACAGGTTTTTTTGTTGTTGTTTTTTTAATTAAACCAGGATTAAATATTTTACTGAAGAATATCTTACAGTTTGGACGGCAGTTAACAGGAGGATGAATGGCGTTGTGCAGCTTGCAGTGGAGCTGCCCACGACAAGTCTGGCACTGGGGTAGCTGTTGTGCCGATAGCTCCATGACAGTCTGTTTTTCTCTCCCATGTGTTCCTTTGGGAGATGGCTAGTTCTGATACAGCAGCGGTGTGGCAGTTGATGAATTGGTTACTGTGCATCTGCCTTTTAGCCATCATCTTTCGTTTTTAAACCCAGTCCCTCTGTGACTTAGGTAGAACCTCAGCCGTTTTTAATATTATTGTCTCTTCTCTTCTGTTTTATAGGATCATGGATTTTCCGGGACACTTTGAGCAAATCTTTCAGCAGCTCAACTACCAGAGACTTCACGGCCAACTTTGTGACTGTGTCATTGTGGTGGGAAACAGGCATTTCAAAGCCCATCGCTCCGTTTTAGCAGCATGTAGTACACACTTCCGAGCTCTCTTCACTGTAGCAGAAGGAGATCAAACCATGAATATGATTCAGCTGGATAGCGAAGTGGTGACAGCAGAAGCTTTTGCTGCCCTCATAGACATGATGTACACTTCCACACTCATGCTCGGAGAGAGCAACGTTATGGATATCTTGCTGGCTGCATCTCACTTGCATTTGAACTCCGTTGTTAAAGCATGCAAGCACTACCTTACTACCAGGACGCTGCCGATGTCTCCGCCCAGTGACAGGGTTCAAGAGCAAAACGCACGCATTCAGAGGTCTTTCATGCTTCAGCAGCTTGGGCTGAGCATTGTGAGCTCCGCGTTGAATTCCACTCAGAGCTCAGAGGAGCAGCCGAGCGCCATGAGTTCCACCATGAGAAGCAACATAGAGCAGCGCTCCGCTTTTCCTATTCGCCGTCTCCACAAGCGTAAACAGTCCTCTGAAGATCGGGCCAGGCAGCGAATGAGGCCTGCCATAGATGAGGCTGTTTCTGACGTGGCTGCAGAGAGCGGGCAGTCAGTTGTTCATTCACGAGAAGATTTCTTCTCACCAGATTCGCTGAAGATAGTGGACAACTCTAAGGCTGATGCTGTCGCTGATAACCAGGAGGACAATAATATTATGTTTGACCAGTCTTTCGGTGCTCAGGAAGATACTCAAGTGCCCAGCCAGTCAGACAACAGTGGAGGAAATATTTCACAGATGTCCATGGCATCACAGGCAACACAAGTGGAAACCAGCTTTGACCAGGAGGCCGCGTCTGAGAAAAACAACTTCCCATGCGACAATCCAGAGGTCAGCATAAATGAAAAAGAGCACATGAGGGTGGTGGTTAAATCTGAGCCCTTGAGTTCCCCGGAGCCTCAGGATGAGGTGAGTGACGTCACTTCCCAAGCAGAAGGCAGCGAGTCTGTTGAAGTGGAAGGAGGAGTTGTGAGTGCAGAGAAGATAGAGCTGAGTCCTGAGAGCAGCGATCGTAGCTTTTCTGATCCACAGTCTACTACAGACCGGGTAGGAGATATCCATATTATGGAGGTGTCAAATAACCTGGAACACAAGTCTACTTTCAGTATCTCCAATTTTCTGAATAAAGGCAGAGGTGGCAGCTATGGTGCTAGTCAAACTACTGATGACAACATTCCAAACACAACGAGTGACTGTAGAATGGACAGTGATGCTTCTTTCCTGATGAGCCCAGAGTCAGGGCCCACTGGCGGTCACTCGTCTGCCACAGTCTCTCATGTTGAGAATCCCTTCAGTGAGCCTGCGGAATCCCATTTTGTTAGACCAATGCAGGATGTGATGGGTCTTCCCTGCGTACAGACTTCTGGGTACCGGGCTGCGGAACAGTTTGGTATGGACTTTCCAAGGTCAGGCTTGGGCCTGCATTCTCTGTCGAGGGCGATGATAGGCTCTGTAAGAGGGGGAGCCAGTAGCTTTCCTGGCTACCGCCGCATAGCCCCCAAAATGCCTGTTGTAACCTCCGTCAGGAGCTCCCAGCTGCAGGATAACTCGCCTGGTTCCCAGCTGATCATCAATGGCACCACTTCTTTTGAGAATGGGCATCCTTCGCAGCCTGGTCCTCCGCAGTTGACACGGGCGTCTGCAGATGTTCTTTCGAAATGCAAGAAAGCCTTATCTGAGCACAATGTCTTGGTTGTAGAAGGTGCACGCAAATATGCATGTAAGATCTGCTGCAAGACTTTTTTGACCTTGACGGACTGTAAGAAACACATCCGTGTGCACACAGGAGAAAAGCCTTATGCCTGCCTGAAGTGTGGCAAACGGTTCAGTCAGTCCAGCCACCTTTACAAACATTCCAAAACAACCTGCCTGAGGTGGCAGAGTAGCAACCTACCTAGCACTTTGCTTTAACTGCTTGCACCTCCCAGCCTGAATGAGAGTGCCAGTACAAACTCTTAACTCTCTGAAGCACTGCAGGAGCATTAACACTATTTTGCTCAAGCTAAGAAGCTGCTTTCGTAGGTCTGTGAACAGTTGTGTGTGGTTGTGCCACACGCTAAAGTCTTGATTCTATAAATTGGGGATAATACCATACCTACCTCACAGGGGTGTTGTGAGGATTAGACAACTGTTAGCAAATAACTTTGAGGTCCTCAGAAGTCTGTAGGTATGTAAAACATTATTGTTATGTACGTGCAGGCTTGGGGCTCAATGGGGATACGGTCCCTACATTGAATTTCCTTTGCAAAACAGAGGAGTGGAGGGAGTGAGAGTGTAATTGTCTCACAGAATAATGGAATGGCATGAGTTGGAAGGGACCTTAAAGATCATCGAGTTCCAACCTCCTTGCCGTGGGCAGGGTTGCCACCCACTTGATCAGGTTGCCTAGAGCCCCACCCAACCTCCACAAATGGGGCATCCAGAACTTCTGTGGGCAGCCTGTTCCAGTGCCTCACTACCCTTGATAGTGAAAATTTTCTTCCTCATATTTAATCTAAACCTACTCTCTTTTAGTGTAAAGCCATTACTCCATGTCCTACCATTACACTCCCTGAGGAAAAGCCCCTCCCAAGGTTTCCTGCAGGGCTCTCCAGGTATTGGAAGGCTGCAGTGAGATCTCTCTGGAGACTTTTCTTTAGGCTGAACAGTCCCAGCTCTCAGCCTGTCTTTGTCAGAGAAGTTCTCCAGCCCTCCAGTATCTTCGTGGCCTTCTCTGGACCCACTCCACCTGCTCTTTGTCTTGTACTGGGGGCCCCAGACCCAAATACAATACTCTGGCTGGGGCCTCACAAAGGCAGAGCAGAGGGGGACTGTCCCCTCCCTGCCCTGCTGCCACCTCTGTGTTGCTGCAGCCCAGGATACAGCTGTCTGTCTGGGCTGCAGGCACACACTGCTGGCTCATGCCCAACTTTCTGCCTACCAGGAGCCCAAGTCCTTCTCCACAGGGCTGCTCTCAAGGAGTTCTTCTCCCAGTCTGTATGTGTCCTTGAGATTGCCCCTATCATTGTGCAGCATCTTGCACTTGACCTTGTTGAACCTCATTAGGTTCACCTGAGCCCCGATCTCAAGCTTGTTCAGGTCCTTTTAGATGGCGTCCCTTCCTTCTGTTGTGCCAACTGCACTGCTGAGCTTGGTGTCATCAGCACGTGTGCTGAGGGTGCCCCCAGTCCCAGTGTCCAGGTCTTTGAAGAAGACGTTAAAAGCAGCGGTCCAAAGATGGACCCCTGGGGAACGCCCCTCGCGACCGGCCTCCAGCTGGACGCAGAGCAGTGGACCGCAGCCTTTGGCTGTGACATCCCGCCGTTTCCTTATCCACGATATAGTCCACCCTTCAGGATCTAATTCAGAGATAGGGATGTGGTGAAGGACCCGTTCCAGAAGTCCAGGCATCAGTCTTTCCCTGTTCACTTGTTCTGTCACTCCGTCATCCAGAGTGGTCCAGGCACAGTCTGCCCTTGTTGAAGCCATGCTGGCTGTTTCAGATCACCTCCTTTTCTGGCCTGTGCCTTAATGTAGCTTTCAGGAGGATCTGTTGCACGATCTTCCCAGGCACAGTTGTAAGGCTCACCAGCTTCTAATTCCCCCCAGTCTTCCTTTTGATCCTTAAAAAATGAGTCACCAATCACCCGGGATTTCACCTGACAGCCTTGACTTTTCAAATACGATGGAGAGTGTCTCAGCAGCCACATCACACAGCTCCTTCAGAACCCGGGGGTGCCTGTCATCCGGCCGCATGGACCTGTACGTGTTCAGTGTCATCATGTGGTTTTGTACTTGCTCTTCTCTTACAGCAGGAGGAATTTTGTCCCCCCAGCTGCTGCCCGGCGGCTCAGGGATGTGAAGGTGCACAGATATGAGAGACACGGGAAGCCTGGCTGCCAGTGGACAGGCCAAGAACTCACTGATTACCTCAGCCTCTTCCATCTCAGTTGTAGGCATTTCTCCCTTCTCGTTATTCAGAGGAGATGCCCTCTCCTTGGCCTGTCTCTTCTGACCTATGTACCCCTCTTGCTAATGTTCACATCCCTTGCCAAGTGCAGTTCCAGCTGTGCCTTGGCTTTTCTGATCCCATCCCTGCACATCCTGACAGCATCCCAGTGTTCTTCCCAGGCCACACGTCCCTGCTTCCACAGCTTTTGCATTCCCTTTTCTTCCCTCAGTTTGACCAGGGGGTCCTTGCACAACCATGTCAGTTTCCTGCCTCTTCTGCTTGATTTCTTGTACTTGGGGATGGAGAGATCTTGCGCTCTCAGAAACATATTCTTAGAGAGCTGACAGCTCTGTTTTGTTCCTTTCCCCCCCCAGGACAGCTTCCCAGAGGATCTCATCCAGTAATTCCTTAATTAGCCGGAATTTTGCTCTCCGGAAGCTCAGAGACCTGCTGTTCTCCAGGTCCGTGTTCCTCAAGACCATGGACTCAACCAGGGCATGGTCACCACAGTGCAGGCTGCCTGCAGTCTGAACCTCTTGAAGGAGCTCCTCTGCGTTAGAGAGCACAAGCTCCAGTAATGCTTTACTGCTGCTTGGTTTGCCTAATGCCTGGGCTGGGAAGTTGTCCTCCACACATTCATGAAGTAACATATTTCAAGAATGAGAAACTGAAGTGCAAATTTCCTTTTTTTTTTTTCTAAAATATTTTGTAAAAGTGAAAGCATTTAAATAAATAACCTGCAGAAATCAAGTTGCTGCATTAGGTGTGAACAGTAATGCAGGGAGCTGTTTGCTCCAGCTAAGGCAGATTGCGTATCTTGAAAAGAAAACCAACTTTGGATGCATCTGTTTGACATAGAATGCTTTAAAGTATGCTAATTATGAAAATAGTTTAGGGTTCTGAATGTATGTTTGCTTGTTTTGTAGTAAAAAACACTGTGTAATGAAGGTGCTTAAATTAAATCCAAGAAAAAAGTAAATTTTGGACTTACATATCCGGATGTATATATACTTGGAATACTGCAAGATCTGGATGTTTCACCAATATTTTTCTGTAGAAACTTGTATTAAGTGATAAGTGAAGTATGTTTCTTGTTTGTGCTATTCTTAGCAGTATTTTAACCAATTTGTATTTCCTATCTTAAAGTTCCATACACACAAAAGTCTGGAAAGAGCTTGTCTTTGTCTGCTTTGTTGTTTTCAACGAGAGGGAGTTAGTGATGGTGGTTTTAGTGCGTAAAATAGGCTCTTGCTGCTTCCAGACATGGCCGTGGTCAGTCCGGTCCGTGCCACTGCCCGTGCTCACTGTTCTTCTTTGGCACCCTTCAGCTGCAGGCTTTAATTTCCCCTCCTGTGCACTCACTTCCCCTCATCAGCAGATTGTCCCTTGGAGCAGAGCAGAGGGATGGAGCCTCGTTTTCCGTGTTTACTTACATCTCTATGTAAGGTGTAGCTATCAAATCCAGTCTTTCTTTCGAAGTAGTGTCATAATTTTTCTTTCCAACAACGAAAAAATCCCTAGCATACACTTAATTTAAAAAAAGTAGCACTGTACACTTTGTAAAGCAGAAATTGAGCAACCTTTATTCCTCAAGACAACCACACGAGTGTTATAACTTTCTCCCCTTTGATGCCATTGTAACTAATAGCATTTGCAGTCTCTTTCCCTTGCTAAAGGTGCACGTGGACTGCCAGCTTTCACGTCCTGGGTTTCTGCGAGACGTTTTGGAGCACTTCTGCTGACAAATGTTGTTCTGCCATGCAGGAGCTGGACTGGGGCTTCAGTGCATCATTCTGCCCAGGGGACGCAGATGTTTGACGTCACAGAGGAACTGTTTGCTGTTAATTTAAATGTATTTTCAAGCTTTCTCTTTTTTCTTTTTAAATTCTGTGGGTAGTAAATGTATCCTCTGTTATGGTACTCAGCAGTCTTAAGGAGTTTGTGCTCCTTAGCGAATAATCTTAAACGTTTTGGATTTCCATCAGAGTAAGCAAAATAAAATCCTCCTCCAGAGTCCCGACAGTCATTGAAGAGGATGAGTTATGAACATCATCGAGGCTTCCAGACCAGACGTTGTCAGACCAAAGGAAACACAGGAAGCTTTCTGCATTTGGTTTACATGTGCAGCAGCAGTAAGCTAAAGGGGGAACGTGTGGGGGCACCTCTCCATGTGAAGATGATTGCCACATGTCTGCCCGCGTGTCATTGGCACCTTGAGCAGCCAAGGTAAGGAGGGGCGTGGAAACACCGCGAGTGATTGGCTGAACTCCCTTCCTTAGTGGCTGTACTCGCAGCCCGTGGTCTTCGAGGACGTGCAGAAATGTGCCACGTTTCTAAAAGGAGCAGGATGTGCCACGTGCAGCTTGGTAATGTGGTGCAAAGGGACCGAAAGCACTGAGGCCTGCTAACCGATCTCACTGGAACATCAGTAAAATGTAGAATTTTGAACCTTAATCTTCTTGTCGCGCCTTATCAGTAGCATTCTGGCTGATTATTTATCCTCCTTGCATTTCTACCAGTTTGTTGGGGATTTTTCTATTATTTTTTTCACTGTTTCCTACAGCGCTTCTGAAATCCTACAGCAGGTAGGAGTAAAGGAGCGGTGTGAGTAAGGAGGTTAATTAGGAGCTAATGTTGAGCAGGTAAACATATTAAACTGTACATCTTGTCTATTTTTTAATAATAAACTTTCATGCTGTGAAGTATCAGACCTCGTGTGGGAGGACTCCTTTCTTAAACAAAGGGTTGTATATGGAGCATCCTTGAAAGTAGCAAGCTCACATTTTATTTCTTCATCCCCACCCAGCGCTTCTGGAGGAGCACACGCAGGAGTGCAGCTGGCTTGCTGCTCGCCCTGTCTTGCAGTGTGCAGCAGCATCTCAGAACAGCAGCTCCACTTCGCCGTCCCGAACTGCAAAATACGGAGCTTCTCACCTCCATGCCTGAGAAACAGGCCAAATATCACCCTGACTTTTGTTCAAAACTTTCCAGTGAGGTCCTGCCTGAAGATGTCAGCATCTTAGCACTGTGAAACCTCCAGAAATCATTTCTGTGCTGCTGTGTTCTGCTTGCTTTACTTGTTATCCTGGTGCATTTGCCAGTGGATTCACAGAACAACATTCGTGTGTTATCAGGTTGGGTTCTCAGTGCAAAACGTAGCAGTGCAGAATCAGAATGCAGGCAAACATTCTTGTCAGATGGGGCACGGTGCTCCAGTGCTTCCAGCAGGCCTGCATTTGCCATTTGAGAGGGCACATATTTAACCAACGAGCAGTGGGGCAGTACTTGAGCCAGCAGGGGTCCTGCAGGATGGTGGTCTCCCATCCATTCATTGTGAGCTGCTCCCCCTGGCTCACGTGCCTGTGCTGCTCAAAGCTGGGCTCTCTTCTGCCTGCCTCTGTGCTCTGGAGGCAACATTAGGGATGCTCCTGCAACTTGTTTTAGATGCCCTACTACCAGCCAGTGGGCTGCCAGGGCTCCTTGCTCCTGCCACAGCATCGAGGTGGGGGGGATGTGTTGCCTGGATCTCCTTCCTCAAATGGAAAGTTGGCAAAGGGATCACTTGAAAGCTTTTGGATTCTGCATGTATCCCCCCTTTCCCATAGAAACGTTTCACATTATTTTCAGCTGGATCATATCCCTGATGGAGTCCCCTCCTGGCAACGGACTGAGAATAAGCGGCTGGGTAACAGCAAGATTATTTTTGGTAGCAGCATTGAATGCCCATCCATGACCTTCCCGGCTTACAGCAGGAGGCAGCTGAGGTATTTGAGCCTGCACGACTGAAGGCTGGCATGGTAGCTTGCTTTTCGAATAGATTTAGATTCAGATTTAGATTTGATGCTGAGGAGCCTGAACTGTTGTGTGATACAACAGCTTTAGGTTTGATGGGCAAAGGGAAAGTTGCGCTGAGGAGGGCCAGGGAACACCATCACCTTGTGAAACACTGGGGAAAAACCTCAGCTTTGTCCCAGAGAAGGTTGGGAGGGCTCCTCAGAGGTAGCACAGAGCTGTAGGAGGATTTGCTGGAAGGTGCTGCTACTTTCCAGTGAAATGCAGGTAAAACCTGACTTTCTTTTTTTTCAAGTTCATCTCTGGCCAGTTGTGCTCATACCTGTCCAGAGGATTCAGACATGGGTGGAGGACAGGGCTAGCGTTTTCTAACTGGCAGCTTGGAAGCATTTTTAGAAAGCAAAATATTTTTATTAAAAGGACAGAGTGACAATTTGCATGGCTGCCAGAGCAAAATGATCCACGGCTGTGGAAAGTGCTGCTCTTGAGGAGACCCCATGGCACAACACCTGAAAAGTGCTTCTCCTACTCAGGCAGTCTCCTGCGCAGCTCTATCAGTGCTCCTTGGCACATGTGGGGAATTGGTGCTCAGGTTTGTACAGCAGCTCTCTTGCACTGAACTGTTCCTCGTCTCCTGAGGGATCACGCTGAGCTGTGAATAACTCTGTCAGAGTCCTGAAGTATGGCAGTAACTGCACCGATGCCAGGAGCATTCATGCAGGCCAACAAACTCGCAGACGCTTTTTCATCTGACACAGCAAAGGTTTTCAGTGTTCAAATAAATCCTGATGATTTCTAGGAAGTTTCCACCCACCGAAGTGCCCAGAAACATTTTCTTTCTGTTTTCCAATAGCTACAAACAATTCCCTGTCAGGTAGAGGTTTGGGCAGAGGCCTCCCTCCCCCGGGGTTGATAATACAGGCACTGTAACAAGGTCAACATGATAATTAGTCAAGCACTGATCTTTTGTGCATAATTTCTTGATCAAATATGGGCCTGACCCACTTAATGCATGACGTTTTGCACCTCCCAGTGGAACTCACGACCACCAAAGGCCCTTTGGAAGAGCCCTGTTTTAACACAGCACACACACGCAGTATTTAATCCGTACAGCAATTCTAGGAATAGGGGGACACTTGGTGGGAATTGTGTGAAACTTCACAAATGCTGCATGTATATCATGTGCTTTGCTCCTGGGCACGCTCATCAGGTGGAGCAATCACCCATGCACCTGGACCTACAACAAGGAACCCCTGCCTCTTCATGCTACACTGCTGTCTCATTCGCTTTGCTTGGTAACGTGACAAACGCATCAAATGCTCTCTGGGCATGAAGCACAGGTCTTTCTGCAACTAGCCAGCATTGATAACTAATTAACAAACATCGTGCAGTAACTTCTATTACTATCAGAGTATGGCCCATTGAGCATCAAGAGAAAATGAAGCACAGAATTTGGCCTTCCACAGGACAGAATGGCAGCACTGTGCGTACAAGGAGAGCTCAGCAGAACTCCCAAGCACAGGCATCTCTCTTGGTTTCGGGTTTTGTTTTTAGCTCAGCACCCTGCAGCGTTCCCTCCCATCTCATTCTGCAGGGATTTGGGATTACTGTGCAGAGTAGGGGCTTAGAAAACAGTTCCTGGTTGTCTTGGAGCTACAGACTTGAGCTCTTTCATTCACACTCACGTCCCAGTGCTGAGAAGTAACAGAGAGCAAATTAAGCAATTGAGGCACATTATGGTTCATTCCCATCCCAGATCGCCTCTGGGATGGCTGGGCAATGGGAGCAGGACTGTTTCTGGGCAACCTGTGCGTGCATGGCTGAGGCCTGGAGCTGGCTGGAGGGTGGCATGAGGATGGGGACCAGCTGCTGTGTTGGCAAGGGGTGATCACCCTGCTGTGTTGCTGGCTGCAATGTAAGCTCTGAGCAGAGAGCCAAGAACTGGCAGCCACTGTTCAAGCTGCCCCATCTGCCTGGTGAGGCTGGTGGTGATAGACAGCACCTGGAAGTGGGCAATGGGCACTGAGATCCCGCTGTCATCACCATCACTGTGCGGTGTGTGCACAGCAATTTCAGTGCATCAAAGTGCTGTGTAACACCAAACACCCTCAGCAAAGTGTTAAACATCGAAAGCTCCCTGTATGGGCTATCTAGAAGATCCTGGTCAGTGTGCTGCTGGACTTTGATGGGTACTGGCCAGGGAAGAAAGAAGACGAGTGGCACAGATGAATGGGTACAAGAAAAGCATTCAAGCAAAGCTGCTCTCATCCTCATATGTGTGTCACAGATGGGGAAGATGAAGATGTGGTCACAGAGATGGCCAGCTGAGAGCACCCACTCGGAGCTGGGGCAGGACCAACCCCTGGTGGCTCCCAGCACTTTGCACTCAGTGACCAGGTGGCTGCATGCAGGGAATGCACTTTTTGATCTTAGAGGTCTATTCCTACAGTAACAATTCTGTGATGCTGTAATTCCAAGTATCCAGCTGCAGAACCCACAGCACTGTTGTTTTCTGGGGCCTAGTCTCATGCTGTCTTGCTCTGCTTGCACTCATGGCTTTTTCCCTTCCCAATGCTCTCTCCAGTCCTCCTGGGGCAGCGGGTGTGCAGCTGGGTGGTACTCGGCTGATCTCTGGGGTTAAACTGCAGCACTCTTCTCCTTGGCCACTCAGTTTGCCATATGGGCATTTAAAGTGAGGTTTTGTCTACTCCCATTTCCCTGGAACTAGGAGCTTCGAAAATGCTGAGTCTTGCACAGTTCAGCTCTATCAGCATCTGGCTGCCCTGAAGCCAAGCTGCAAGGCAAGTGTGCTCACTGACAAACAGAGCTCATGGAAAGGATGTAGAACAGCTCTGCCATCCTTTCTGGAGTGCCAGCAGCACCTGCAAGTCACTTATGCCCTTCCTTCAAGGTTCTCTAGACCAGCTTAGCACCTGTTGGGCAAACTGGCAAGCGTGCTGCCTGCCATGCAGCCCTGTGCACTGCAGCTGTGTGGCAGGTGGCAAAAGAGAAATGCCCCTGTGGACACCCAGCACACATGCCTTCAGAGAAAGATTTCCAATGGACTGTTTTTAAACGCATGTCGAAATCCTCCTTCCAGTGCCACACAATGACACAATGTCTCAGACACCATTTGTTCCTCTGAAGGAAACGGTATCGTCTTGGTACACTTCCCCAAGCATAAATTCACAGCTTGGGCAGGGTGCTGCTGAGGGCAGGAGAACAGCACTCCAATTCTCCTGTATGGGAGAGACAGACTGCAGCACAGTGAAGCCCCAGATCCTTGAAATGTGCTCATCAGTGCTCCTCCCGAGACTTGGCACCTGCCCACTTCTTCTTTTGCACTAACACATGCCATCACAAGTGTGGGTGAAAACCGAGGCAGGAATTACAGAGGGCAGGAGAACTTCCCCCTGGTGGAGGAGGCTCTGGAGAAACACTGCTCTCTACAACCACCTGCAAGGAGACTGTGGCGAGGTGGGGGTCGACCTCTGCTCCCAGGTAACAGTGATGGGATGAGGCGACGGCCTCAAGTTGTGCCAGGGACGGGTCAGGTTGGATGTTCTCAGGAAAAACTTCTCAGACAAGGTGACCAAGCACTGACAACAGCTGGTGGGGTCACTGCCCTTGGATGTGTTCAAGGAACACGTGCAGATGTGCAGACTGCCACTGAGGGATGTGGTCAGTGGTACAGTGAGGGTGGGCTGGGTTTGACTTGGGGAGCTTAGGGTCTTTTCCAACCTCAACAATTCCACGGTGCTGTGATTCTGGATGAAAGCTGAGAGCTCCAATACAAAGCTGAGGGGCCATTCTCACACTCACCAAAAGCACCAGCATTCACCTGGCCCCCTTACAGGCACTCGTGACGCCAGCGCCTGGAGGCCTGTCCTTCCCAAGTGAAAGGCACACACCACTGTC